TGGACACGCAGGACCAATAAAGTTTTCCAAACAGACACCTGCGGGTGCGTCCTTCTTTGCAGCCCTGCACCCACCCCCCTGCAGTCCTATCCCATCCCCACCCGCGGCATCCTGACAAGTGGTGAGGGGAAGGGCTCCCCAAAGTCTCACATGAGCACCCTGCTCTGGGCCTCACGGCAAGATGTGTGCAGAGATGTTCGCCTTTCATCTAGACTTGGGGTGTCGGCTACATCTCCGGGGTGTCTGCTGAGGTTGCCTAGGAGGCTGAGTCTGGGGAGGGTGCGGGCAGACTGGACGGTTGTGGATCGCTTAAATATTTTACTTTGTGCAAATATTCAAATAACTGAATCGTAACAAAACCAGAATCTTCTCAAAACCCACGGCCCCTCCAGCTACTGCCTCACTCCTCTCGTCTTCCTGCCATCTGCTCACCTGACCCAGCCAGGGAGCCTCCATCACCTCCAGTCCCTGAACCACCAACCCCCTGTGGGCAGACCCCGGAGTCATTCCCTGTCGCCCCCCCACCACACCCCCTCTGGCCACCCCTCCTCCCAACACTGTCCCATCTCTGGGTCTCTGGGACCCCACACTTCAGTTCTCCTCCCTCACCAGTTTCTCCTCCCAAAATAATGTCTCCAGCTCTGGCCTTGACTCCTGTATCCAACCGCCTACTTGACATGAACTTGGATTCTGTTTTTTCTTTTTTCATAGAAACAGGTTTATTTTGATAGAGACACGCTGAATACAAAGAGGGCTGCAATAAATGAGTAATCGTTAACATAAAATAATAGAACATTTTAATAAAAATTAATATTTTTTCTTGAACATTAACTTACCAGACAACCAAACAAGTCAGTCCAAGACTAATGACGTGGCAATTGGCTGATACAAATCTGAACTTGGATTCTTAATAGAAATGAATGCCAATGTGTCCACAACAGAACTCTTGATTTCCCCTCTAAGCCACTCCTTCCCACGTGGCCTCATCCCCAGAGGACTGCTCAAGCCCAAACCCGGGACTGACTCCTGCCTTCCTTCGGGCCAGGACCTCCCAGGACCTCCGCAGACCCTGGGGTGTCTCCTCTCCCGCCACCCCCTCCGGGCTGGGCACGTCCACAGCTTCCCCAGTGGTCTTCCTCCTGTGCTCACTCCCTTACAGTTGTTCGTCCCTGAGAACCCAGGTGGTCCTCCTAAAACCAAGAGCCAATCATGCCACTGTGAGGACCAACAATGAAAAACAAGAGGCTTAACACCCCCCCTCCCGTCAAAAGTATGAAGGCACCCCCTTCCCCTCCCTTTGCTGAGAGCACTCACTTTAGAACACGTGTGATTGCATGCCTTTTCTCTCTCTGAATCGTGTGTGAATCCTTCCAGAAGGTAAACAAGCCTGTGGCCAGCTTTACAAGCCAAGATGGTTTTTCTCAAGCACCTGGGAGCCACCTCTTTGAAAGGCCGTCCAGGGAGACAGTGCCCCTACCTGGGGGGATGGGGGGGGGGGGGGGGGGGGCGAGGAGAGGGGAATCCACCAGCTGTGCCTCGCTCCAAACTGCAGTACCAGCTCCTCACAGACAGGGGAGTTTGTTTCCCTCTGGATAAGGCCAGTGGCGAACTCAGGCTGTCTCCCGACTACCAGCCCGTGGTGAGCTGTGTGCGGTCAGTGGGGCTGCGGCTAGTCAGCATGCGGCCTCCAGCTGTGCGGGTGGCGGCCTCTTTCTGTCTGACTCTCAGTGGCTGCCTGTGGCTGCACCCTGTTCTGGCCACATGCCTAGTCAATAATCCTATCTAATAAAAGAGAAACATGGTAATTGGCGTACGACCGCTACCCTTCCCATTGGCTAATCAGGGAGATATGCAAATTAACTGCCAGCCAGGCAGCTTGAAACTAACATGAGGCTTGCTTGCTTCAGTGATGGAGGAAACCAACGTTCCCGCCTGCCTTGCAGGCCTTTGAGCCTGCAGTTTGAAACATTTTAACAAATATAGAAGGTAAACAAAAACCCAGAAACCTGCTTTCAGGAGGCCAGGATCTCAGAGCTGGAGTTGATACTGAGTTTTGATTATAGAACCGAAAAAAAAACAGATACCTGCTTTCAGGAGTGGAGGCCTAAGAGCTGGAGCCTCAAAGCTAAAGCTGGCCCAGAATAAAAAAAAAAAAAAAAAAAAAAAAAAAAAAAAAAAAAAAAAGAGGAG